GTGTGTGTGTGTGTGTGAGCAAGCAGGATTAACATATTGATTGTAATCGATGAGTTTCCAGCCGTCCGCTCACTTGCTGTTGCCCCGGGAGGTTCGCTGTTTGGTCATGGTCGTCAGCATCTGGCTGATGTAAGAGGTCAGGAGGTCGTCCATTTTATAGCCCTGAAGGATTAGAGGTCAGAGGTCAGACATACCTTACTATATTTATATATTGAGATGTGTGGCTCTATTGCTTTTTATTGTACATTGTATAACAGAACGCAGGTAATTTATCATTACATTTGGGATGGTTTTCTGTCATATTTCTCAAGTAGAAGTACAGATACAACTTTACTCAAGTAAAAGTAAAGTACAGGCTCTGAAATGTACTCGAGTATGAAAGTAGAAAGTACTCTCTCCATTTCTACCGGCTGTTTCTGTGCAAAGGTGGAACTTCAAACAAACACATCGTTATTATCTTTTAGGTTGTTTGTGTCACGTTATGTCTGTCTTGAGGTTTGGAAGGCGTTCAATGATGCAGAATGTTTTTTTAGTACTTATATTTGTATAAAAATGTGGGGGTAAAAATAAATACTCAAGTTTCTTTTAGGTATCTGTACTAAAGTAATTGCACTTTGTTACTTTCCACATCTGGATTATATGGAAATATGTTTAGTATAAGATTTTTGCTTTTTGATTGTCCACCTCAACAGTTAGTGTACTAACATAAAACTCCCAGTCCTCTTCAGTTTTATGTGTCTGAACATCTTTAAAGGGTTGATCTAAGGTTATAAACGTGTGCAGTGGTAGGAAGGAATATTGGTAGTTTTAGGAACAGGTGCTCCACTTGTTGAATGATACACTGCAATCTGCCCTACTGCTCTGATTGATCACTTGTTGTCACTTTGCTGACTTCTTTTGGGATGTTGGTGGCATAGAAACACCTGATTTCACAGCATCTTTTATAAAACATTGTGAGAGAGAGAAAATTGCAAAAAATAGTTGCTATTATTTACTTTTGTATAATTGATTGAAAATTGAAGGCAACTCATTCCAGAGAATAAAATCAGTTTGAACACAAATAGAAACAAGGAAGTGAGTTTGGTGACGTATGTTTTGTGCAGGAAACTACAACCATTGGTAAAATAAATTGCAAGGTTGTGCAGAATTCACAGGGATTAATTGAATTTATATTTACTGCTGCGATCGCAACTTCCTGGAGGGATTGACTTGTTGAACTGTCTGCATAGTTTGGCACCTTTCTCACCTCTGCACAGCTGACCAATCACAGCAAGAAGCAGATGTCAGACACTCCCTAAACCCCTAATACCTGAAAGCTGCTGAACGAGTAAACATTAAACTTATATTTCCCCATATTTACACTGTTTCCTGGTTATTCTGACCGCTGTAGAGCATCAACATCATATTATAAAGTCCAGTGTCTCACCAGTGAGGTTTCACACAGCAGTTTGCTGCCTCGGACCAGGTTTCCGATGGTGATGTGGAAGTACGTGTTGCCGCTGCTCCAGTTGGAGATCTTGGTGAAGGGGTGAGTGGTGAGAATGTCCTGTAGGAGAATATAACACAATGATGATTGCATGATCACAATATTCAACAAAGACACACGAGAAGTCAGTTCGTCTGGTGCAGATGTAATGCATTCAGAAAATAAACTTTAACTAAAGAAAGACAAAATAAAAACAGCTTTCATGTCTAATTCCCTCAAATATATTAAGTCATATTTTAGTATGAAGCTTCCCTTTTTTAATCTGCTTCTGTTTGCCCCGTTACATTTTTATTACTGCATCATGCTGCTACACACAAACTCAACACTTCTTGTATCCTTTTCAAATTAAAAGCCATTTCCTAACAAGGCTTTTATTGTGAAATATTTGCAGGACCAGGTTGTGGAAAGTGACTGTATAGAATAAGAACAGTAACGCAGATCAACAAAGTGTTGAAGATAACATGATTATACTGTTGAATTTATTTAAGTAAAAGGAAATGTACATTATGTCTCCAGTATTTGAGGGTAGACTTGAGTATTATAATAATAATAATAATAATAATAATAATAATAATAAAAAATATGATAAATGTGAACTCACCTTAGATTTGGGATCAATGAGACTGACTCCATGTTTGTTGATTGCTATCAGGAGGGTTTCTGGGTAATTTGGATCAGTTGTTTGCTGCAGAAAGAAAAAAAAGAATAAATAAAACAGTGGAAAGTACATTTACTACTTAAATATTTGTACTATTAAATGTTCTTGTACTTTTACTTTTAAAACTTTATTTGCATATTCAGATTATTAACACAATTGAATCAACTAATAACCTATAATAATACATCTTTAAGCTACAGCAGTATATAGACATTATGTAGTTATTAGCTCCACTTTTAGTGATTTACACATTAATGCATCAATTATAATCCAGTAATATCTTATTATTCTGAAATTGACGTCTGTAATTAGTACTTTTAATACTTTAATTAATGCTAATACTTTTGTTGTATTTACTTCAGTAAGATCTTGAATGCAGAAAATCTGAGTATTTCTACACTGCAGTATTGATACTTTAAATTAAGGAAAAGATCCGAGTACTTCTTCCAGCTACAATAACAACAACATAATGACATTCAGCTTTTAGAAAACGGAGTGACGTCTTTACCTTGACTTCAAAAAAGGCGGAACCAAACGTGGGCCACTTGTAAATGATTTTGAGGAAGGAGAGTTTGGCTTCTTCTCGAGTCTTTCCCGAGTGTTTGTTGAACAGCGACATGATGGACTGAGAGGGAAACAAACGACAAACCAAGACATTAACGTTTCTGAACATTGGTTATATTTACACACTGATCTGTGGTCAGCACCGAGGACACTGGCTTACATTTAGTAAAGATATAGTAAGATATTGTATATGAGTTTTCTTGAATTGACTCCCTGACAACCTCACTCTTAACAATGACTGTTTTGTGGTCGTATAAAAACAAACCGAGTCTCAAAATAACCACAAACCCTAAAAACTAACAAGAATCGGTGTTAGAAACGGAGGGCAGCGTGACTCCAGTCTCCTGCAGACTGTTACTTTGTCTGAAATCTGATGTTTTCACATCACAGAAGACAATTAAAACATGAAGTGAGACATTACACAGAGAGTCAGGGAGCAGCTGCAGCATCATAAATTACACCAAAACATTAAAAAGTCTCTTTTTTTTGCATTAGCAGTAAAAGTAAACTGACTGTGACATTTTCAGCCTAGACTGTGTATATTATGTAATTTTGTTTTTTTAATCTATTGGTTCATTGTTATTGAGACACTTATGTATGGTCTCTAATCTAATCTAATGTGTTATTAAATATTAAGTGAATATCTGAAGTCAAATACAGATAATTTGAATGAGAATATTTTCTAAAATAATGAATAAAAGAACTGATTTCACAGAGACTTTTAGAGTCACTTTGTTCCAGACTGAAATATCTCAACAGGAACTGAATAGATTGTCATTAAATTGGGTAAAAACATTTATGTTCCTCTCAGGGTGAATTCTAATATCACTGATGATTTCTTGTTAATATCATTGATTTCTTGTATTTTCATGTAGCGCCACCAGCAGGTCAACATTTTAATGTGTCCATTATTTTGGTTTATGACTCAATATCAGCAAAACTAATTACTTACTAATTAGCTTCTCAAATGCTTCTTTATTTTATATTACTGTAAATTAGATATTTTGTTTGTTTTCTGTGTGTATCTACTCTTTGTTGGACTCTTTACCCATGAAACCCTGATTTTACTCTGTTTTTGCTGTAATACGTGAGCTCACCCTCTTCCAGTCGTCGGGGGACAGATGTCTGATCTGGTCCTGAGGGACGAGCTCCTTCAGGACCTTGGTAATGTTGTGGAAGTGGGATTTGTCGTCCTCAAACTTCACCCTGTAGATCAGCGCCGCCAACTGGTGCACCTCCTCCCTCGGACACTTGTGGTAGCCTCGCAGGTACTTTGGCAGCTCCTGCAGAGAGAAAGAGGTCGCTGTTAAGAAGCTGCACGTCTCTGTTGGCAGTACATTTATTGGCACTTGTCTGAAAAACTCACAGAAACTCTTAAACTCTGAATGTACTCGACTGTCCTGAAAAACATCAAGTTAGCAGCTCCCACCAATTGCTACGACAACTTTTGTGTCGACGGAAAATGACACCAGATTTGGCGTTCGCTACTGGTTAGCATACTGGCCAGTTAATGTCTTAGTTATTATGAATCCAATATAACAGCATATAACAGTTCATTTCACAACGCAGATACATTTGTTAAGAGATTTTAAATAAGATAAGATTTTAAGACTTTGTATGGAAAGTAAATATCCTCGAGTACTGTACTTAAGTACACATTTAAGGTACTTTTGGACTTCCAGATCTCAGTATAATTATTATTATTCCACCCCCTACCTGTCTCCAATTGTGTTGAGTTTTTTAATGTTTGCGATAAACTAAAGGATTAAGTGTTCTTCTCAAGCTAAATAAACTATAAACTATTTTTAAAAATAGCTGGAAAATGCATCACGCAGCTGAAAATGTTTGTTTTTCTGACTCACAAACATACGATTATCTTATAGAATATGATGCATTGCTGTAAATTAAACTACACAACAATATATAAAGTAGTTACAATAAGCAGTAAAAACATTACTTATAACAGTAAAAGAGTACTAATAACGAGCTGTTACCGAAACCACTCACTTGGTAGTAGTGGAAGGTGGAGTCGGCCATGGTGTCTTTTCCTGGCACGGTGTTAGTCCACAGCTTCTTCATGAAGAACACCTGATACGTCAGTGAAGGCACTACACCTACACAGAGGATGAACACAGAGGTTAGGGTTAATCACTGAGAATATATAAAACACATCAGCTTTAAAGAAAAGCTTATTTTCTCTACCATCTTTCACATGTCTGGCTTTCTTGATCCAGTCGGTCAGGTGCCTCACAAAGTCGAAGAAGAAGTCGCCATCGGGCACACTGATGACCTGGAAAAACCAAAAAAGTCACACACTTAAACATCTTCAAATGCTTTAAATAAAATGTATGTATAAGATGTGTCTCAAAAACATAAAAACAATCAGTTTTCTTTACTTGATCACTAAATAAAAACTATTTTAATGTGTTGTGTTTAATTCAAGACAAAGATAGAGCTGCTGTGGTTTGTATCATTTGTTATCGATGTGCTTTCTACAATAACTAAAGTAGATATTCAATCAGGGGGCAGAAACCTTGTCGGTGATCTTCACAAACAGACTGAAGCCTTCGGAGGATTTGAGCAGAAGACGTCCGGAGATGTTGTGGCAGAAGTCTTTGGCCTTCGTGCTCGACTCCACTTCAAACACCTGAGAACACAAACAGGTCGAACGGCTGCTGAATATATGAAATACTGCACATATAAAGTACCAGAATATGTGAGAAAGATGTGTTTTATGGCAAATATGTTCACAGGAAAAACATGAAAACCTTTTTGATGATTTCGTGTAAACTGAAGAATTATACTGATTAATTCCCAGCTATTTTCTGAACTTGTTGGATGTTAGAAAGGATTTTGTGTTGAAGTGAGATAATTTAACTTTTGCTGAACTTTGGTCAAAAGTGACAAATTACAAGATGATAAATGCTAAAACAAACAACAAATAGACAAGAGTCACAAAGCCACCATAAGCTACTGGTCATACCAGAAGTAGTAAGGTTGTACCTGCTAAACACCTTAGTGTATTAAATTAAACAAGGCTGTATTTTATTGCTAATAAATGTTATTTTTTCATTTAAAATCATACATAGTTTGACTTTAAATAATAACAACCTCTAAAACAGTGTAAGAATAGCACGAGTATACAAGAGTCAAAGTCAACCAACTAAAGTTCGCTAATAATATTAAACACTTAAGTGTATTAAATTAAGCAAGAGTACATTTTATATCGCTAATAAAGGAGAACTAGTAGTTTTATTCTTTTAAATGTTTACATAACCTGAATTTAAATAGTAAGAGGAGTCATAAAGACTCAATAATGACAGTAAGAATTTATCTTAAGTTAACCACCATAAGCCATAAGGTCTTGAGTTATTTCCTCTTTTAAAAGTCACATGCTTTTACTTTAAGTGCTCACCACGGAGGATGTCATTATAGATTATATAATTATATATATATATATATATTTGGATTTTTATTTGTCACCGACCTCGTCTGAGTCGTCGGGGAAGTAAACTTTGTGGAAGATCTGAGTGGTTTTGTGCTGGATGGCCTCTACCTCCACCAGGTGAGGAGGATACTTCCTGGATCCATTTCTACAACAAATAACAGACAGAGGAGATTAAATAAAAGAAAACTGAACTCTGATCAGAGGAGTGTGTGTGTGTGTATGTGTGTGTGTGTTACCGTAAGGCTTTCTGTAGCCGCTGCATGCAGTCTGGAGCCAGCGGATAGTGTTTCTTGGCCTGGAGGAACTTCTGGACGTGAGGCAGCAGGATGTTACTGGGAGGAAACAAACCAGTGCAGAGCCACAGCAGCTCCCAGCCCTTCTCCTCACTGTACCTGCGCGCGCACACACGCACACGCACACGCACACACACACACACACACAAACAAAGGAGGAATGTAAATGTAAATAGGACTATATCTCAGCTTTTTATTCACTTCTGTGAAGAAAAGTAAATTGTCTAATAGAACAAATAGTCAGGGGCAAGAAGACACATCATTTTTTCAAAAAAATAAGCCTGTTAAGTCTGTATGATTGTTAAAAATGAGACAAAAATACATAATACAGACAGAAAATTGGTTAAAAGGTTCCCTGAATAGGGAAAAGTCTGCTCAAAAATCATCCAAATCTCTAATTTTACATAAACTTCTTTGCAGTTACTGAGTTCACTGTTTGGGTTCATTGTACAGTTTTTGATATAATATTGAATATACAAAAAATATGTCACGTCGTTTACTAAATGATATAAAAGGGGTCCCTTAAGGAAAAAGGTCGGGACTGTGTTACAGCCTCAGACTTGGTGACAACAGTTTGTCTTTCTTCAACTCGACAATGTCAGTGTGCACAAGATAATAATAATTTTTTTAGCCCTGGGGGCAGCAGAGACATTTTAAGTGGATAAACAAGCATAACTTTCAGCATTAGAGTCTGTTTCTGTCCAATATTCACTCTCTTTTATCTGTTTTTGGTCTCTGCTAACTCAAGAGGAGAATATCTGACCCTTTAGCTGCTAAATGCTAAAAGCAAAGACACATCAGGGTTCCCACTCTCCCACTTACATTGTTTAAGAAAAAAAACTTTCCAGGAGTTTTTTTCTTGATTTATAACAGTCAAGTTTCAAACAACATACGCAACCAGGTTTAAGTAATCTTAGCCAATGGCTAAAATAC